ATATGCCTCCACTTTGTATTTTAGCTTTTATAGGTGGTCTCAAATGGCATTTTTATGACTGACAGCCGTTAAACCGTAATTCCATATTGGTAAACTAATTGACGCTGGTCTGCATTCCAATCAGTGCAAGTTATTAAGTGGCATGGGGAACTGAAAAATTCCATTTGTTTAGGCGATAAGAATTTCTGTGAGGCTGTTGCTGCTAATTTGTATGACGAAATGTTGAAACGAAAGATGACGCTTTCGTAGGAATTTTAATCAAAAAATACCTGCATTGCTTTCTTCTTCACTGATTTGGTCCTTGAAATGTACGAATGTTTCAATATTTATCACAAATCCGAGGAATTCGATATTTTGTAAGGGTGCTTGAAAAATATTTCTCAACATTGGAAAATAATATCAATTGCAATTCTACCCTCAATTATTCTGTTGTACTTTTTAATGCCACTTTAAATAAATTAAATAAAATGGACTAATTTTCAAGTCGCTAACTTTCGTGATTAAGCATTTATCAACTAAAAATAAACACCTTCAAGATTTTAGCAGGCTATCCTGTCAACAGATACGTATAGTAGACACTTAAAACTTGTTAGTTTTAATAAGGGCTGAAAGACCATTGAAATGATTTATCATCTGACCCTCCCTTCAATTTAAGATTTTTAAGGGGGTGTCTCTGGGGGCTGGGGGTTGAAAGAGGGGAGTTGTATTTTGCATAAAATCTCATCCCTCTCCAAATTATAGTTTTTCCATTACCAGAGTGCCGTCGCACTAGGGCCACGATAAACGCATTACTACGAATTCTAGTTTTTCGTGATTCGGAGATTTTTTCTAAAATTTTCCGGTTCTGAGTTAGTATAGTAGTGGTGAAATAAACACCCTGTAGTATAACATACCCGGGTTCGATCAGCAAGATTAAACGATTGGAATTTTAATTATTTCTTTTTTTACATAAATCTTCTGAAAAAAATATGAAATGAAAAACAAATAGGACCTACGTTGTGGAAGCTTACTCAATTTTACTTACTTAAGATGCGCCCGACAATAGGGAGATTTTGGACCAGTGAAAATAACATCAAAAATTACAGAAATATTCGTTAACTTTAATTACATTCAAGATAACGGAAAGTAAATAAAAACGAGTTTTTGGAGTGGATTTATGAATAACGATATTTGTGGTTATTTTATCATCTTGTTGTTTAACATAACTCTTTAGTAAATATTTCGGACTTTCTTTTTCGCTGTTTTTTCTTTTCTGCGTTTGTATTTTGTAAAATTGTTTTGTTTTGTGTGATTTCCTGGCTAAATTGAAATGAATGAAAATATAGAAAATGTTATTAGAAGAGGCCTACCAGAAAACATAGATCTTGTTCGACAAATAATTTTGAGAAATGTTTTTGATTGGCAACAACAACCGCAAGTTCAAGAGGAACCCGAACCTGTATTTGATCAAAACAACAATACAAAATTCGCCCAGAAAAAAATAAACCACATAGGCCATTGTCCACATTAAACAAACTAAAATATTTGAGGTTAGAACATTATGCTGTCAAATGCATAAAGTCGAAAATCGCGTGTCGCTAGTGTCAAATAAGGAAAAAATCGTTACAAGCTCCGCCTCTTTCCTTTTTGAGTAGTGCGCATGCTCAAAATCGGAATAACCACAAAAATCGTTATTAAAAGACAGTTTTCACTGGTCCAAAATCTCCCTAATAGCAAAATTAGGGAAATTTAAGGGAAGTTGTGACATGCAAAATAAACGAAAAATTTGTGAAACGTCTAATTTATTATTAGAGAAAATCGTACCGTTCTCGTCCTGGAACTCACGAGGGGAAAGAGCACGGCAGAGAAATCTAACATTCCCCAAAACTCAAAACATACAGTGACATTTCAATAATTAATTGTGAGTCAATGAAAATTTGAATTAGGTACCGTCCTTTAGTCCTTTGTCCTTGTGCTAAAATTCTAATTCCACATACTACATTCAATCAACAGTACCTATATTCAATACTGAAGAGTTTCTGGTTAGTTAGCCAGTTTCACCGGCAGGTACTGAGGTCCCGTAAGGGAGGCTACTCAGCTATAGTTGTTATTTTAAGCCAATATCTTTAGATTGATTTTTCAATTTGTTTGCTAGGATATTCGCTCGTCAGGGTAGGAAAATGTTAGTTGTAGATTCAACAAGGCCCTAATGCACGTTCTGAACACCAAAAATTAAAATCCCAGCACAAAAAACAGTACATTATTTCTTTGGTTTTAATTTACTTTTTTTTATCTGCGGTGTTTACAGCATGAAACCATTTTTTTTTAAATACATGAACAATGCACATGTAAAAAATGTTATAAACAAACAATAAAATGAAAAAAATTAATTAAACTCTCAAAAAAAATAACATTTAATCAACTGACCTGGGAATGTTCCTTATGACATACAAACTAATCACAAATTGGATTGAACAATCAGTTTAATACAAAATAAAAATTAAATTATGAACAATGGCAGACAAGCTTGTTCTCTAGTCTCTCATTTGCTATTTACCCTCTGGTACCTTTTCGTGTGGCGCGGCGTCTTCGTTCGCCCCTACTCGACAGCTCATACATGGTTGCAAAATTTACCATTTGCTTTTCTATACTAGACGTTTTAAAAAGTTTGAACTCCAAGAAATAATATTTCAAATAGGTGGTTTTCGTCAACCCTATATACCATTTCATTTTATCTGATAAAGTTCAAAGAATTAGATTTGCTGGACCAGCCAGAGTTATGAATTTCTTTTCTCTGCCAATAAAATTTTATTGTACATTATTTTCTCTTAATTTGTTGATTTTCAATATGACGGAGGTGATTAGGTAAATTATTGAATAATTTAGTTTGCTGGTTTCCTTGTTCAAGCTAGGAACTAATAATTAAAATATATATTTAGTACCTACTAAATTTTCTGTATTTCTTGCATATCATCCTCGTTGTACGGAATAATTTAACCCGTTTCGGATAAAAATATTTACGCTAACTGAATATTTAATTTAACTTGCTCGTACCTCTTGTAACCCTATTCTAGCATACAGGGTGCATTGGTATTTCTATAGAGTTTCGTTACATTTTGTATTTCATGCATACCAACCTCATTGCATGAAAGAATTTAACTACCCCTGCGAAATAGTCTAGATGAATTATTTCTCCATGCCTTGTATTCGCTAATTAATATTATACCATCTTATTAGTTGTCATCGAAAAACTCTTACATAAACAATACTCTCGTTATATTTATCTCCTTTGAAGTCATAGTTCAGTTCCCGTGTTTGCCCTGCGTTTAGATAAACATCAGTATGTACAACTCCTTGTCGTGTCTCTATTGATTACGGTTGATATATTCCTTTTAACTCTGTCGGATACATTTCACCATCTAATTTAAAAATAAACAGTTGACGGGGTCTCATTTTCATCGATTGCACACTAATAACCCCGAGTATCTTTGTCGTTTTATTTTTGTTTGTTTTCAAGGGAATCGTGTAACTTTTGATGTGGATGAAAGAAGTTTTATATTTTTGTTTTTATTGCAGCTACATATGTCTGCACATCCACGGAAATGAAAAGAGTATTTTTGAAGCCCTTGCGTCGGTTTCCTCTGTTATGGAGTTTTATTTCCAGTTGCTTGTTGAAAAAGTACACATTGAAAGGGAATATGATATTTTCCTTTCTCATATCGGCCCGTCCAACAAAAAGTATACTGATCGTTCAAATATTTATCAATTTCCACAGGCCGATGTTACAATATAGGAAATACTTATTCAGAATTTGAAAAAAAAAATTGGTTTTATAAACCCTGTGTGAACCAAAGTTTTCAAAAACATAACTTATGACTTGTTTCCCACTCCCTTTTAAACATCAAAAAAATTATTGCGTGTTGGTTACAACAGATAATTTTATTACCTAACCCATTCCCTGTTTGATAAGCGTTAGCGGAGATGAACTCGCTCATTTTATGTTGCAAGTTTTAGAGCCCAAACACACCTATAAAGTTGCCAACTTTGGATTGGACTTATAAAACTTTAAGCGATTTTGTTTTAGGTTTACAGCAGTTTTTCGAAAGTTTTAAAATATATATAATTGGTTTGACCATTAAACTATTTTACGGGCCATAAAACGATGGTTAATAAAATGTCAGTTGGAGGGTCATCTTTTATTTTAATTTCATTGAGAAAATACTATTTGTTCATATTCTTACATGATTACTAATCCAACAAAAATTTAAAAGCAACTTTAAAGAATTTGAAAGCGGCACCTACCTAAATCATTTTTCGAACTTTTATCGCCCATAAACAGTTATTTGTCCAGGTCTATGCCGCTCCAACACTTGGATGGCGCTAATTACTACGAAGTACGGTCAACTAATGTGACCCCACGCATTTAACCTTCCAAACATAAAATCATAATAATTTTTTATCATCGCGACGGCCGATCCAAGATAAAAGCCATTAAAGTTAATTTCTTGTAAAAGCCAACGTTAAAATGCCTTGCGATTATTACTGGTAAGAGCATTTGGTAAAAATTAATCACCTCAACAACACATAAAAACTGCAGTTATCTTATGAGCCATTTCAGAGGGCAAATGACCTTTCTAGAAATAAAACACTCCGAGTGTCGCTGGAAGGATTGTGGGGTTGGCCGTAAATTATGACAATAACTTTTCAAACTTTATTGAAAAACGTTTTTTGTAAGCGGTAATAGTTATAAAAATATTACATGGTGATTTTATATACATATTAACGTGTCTCATAAATATTTTTTTATGTTGCGCTTTTAGATGATTAATTTACAAGCTTCAACTTAATTTCGTTAAGCAATATCCAGCAACAAATTATATATTTTCCTATATTTTTACCAATTTCAAATTTTTTTGCTGGGTAGGATTCATTCTCACTACGGCAATGACTCCTCTATCTCCTTCATCAATAAAAGATACCAGTATGTTCATAATTTTATTATATTATTATTTATCAAACATTCATGCTCCACTTCCAATATTCGCATATTCCCAGAATCTGTTATATTTAGAATCGTTTAGATTTCTGTTTTTATTGATGTTTCCAGAGAAGCTCCTTCCAGACGTAGCTTTATCGTAGGGTGCATTAACATTGATCACCGCATCAATTATGGAGTCTCTTATTAGTATCTGACCATTGGCACCTCAAATCAATAATGAATAGTTAGAAAATAAGTTATATCTAGAAACAGTATCCTTACTTGGAGTGGAATCCCAGGCTCTCACCAAATGAACGCCCCTATTATTTTTTATAGCAGTTTCAGCAGTTATGTTGCCTCTGATCAATAGAAATCCAAACTTTTGAGTGTTTGTAGTATTTGGAGCGAAAATGACTGCGGTATTTCTTGGTCTATCAGCTCTAGCAATAATATTAGTGTTTTCAAAGACTGCTGAAGCTGGCCCAAAAATAAAGTCGACGTCACCTTTAATTGTAGATTTGCTGAAGAGGATCCTTTTACCACTTGCTAGCAGAGTATCCTAAATTGAAAAATAAACATTATTATATAATTTTTCTGCAACATGACATTTTGCGATTTGTTTTGACAATGCAAAGTTGACCTTTCCTGATTACCAATCGACAAAAACTTTGTCGCTCGTTGCAATGGGAGAAAAGCGACAAAGTAAAATATGCTGATTGATTGCAGGTTGAAAACACCTGAAATGACGAGAAAATAACCGAATAAAAACGAGAGCATTAGAAAATCATAAAACCCCAGCAGAAATATGGAACAACGCAAAACCTAACATGGAGAAAACAACATCATTTGGTTTTAATGCATACAATTTAATACCGAAGGAGATGAGAAAGTCAAAGTTAGACCAGAGATCAGAAAAAATGATTATGGTGGGCTATGCAAACAGTGGGTATCGGTTGTGGAATGAAAAACAAGGAAAGATGTAACGTGCCGAAATTGACTAACTATTTCATACTTATTTCAGTTTTCCATTCAAGATTCCTTCAATTTTGTTTGTTTTCTTTTTCTCTATAAAATTTAAACAACAATAACAGCAGTTGCAGATCCTGTAAATTTTCTAATTTCCAATATTTAAATTCTATTTTCATTTGTTACTAGTTCTTGTGATGACTGATGATTTTCCTCGATTTCAATCAATATTTTAATTCCGTTTCAAAATCAAAACAAATCAATTATTTCTGGGGTTATGTTTTTTCCCAAACCGTGATTCGTTTTCAAAGTGCATCTACCGTACTACTCTGTTCGACTGCTGAACTCAGTGCCAGTTTTTTTCTGTATTCAATCATTGGTTCCATACACCAACGGATTGCTCTCTTTGTTCTCTATTTTATAATGACACTTGACGCTTAAGTCATGTCACTCTTGATTTGCATCTCAGCTGAATGGTAAAGTGTCATTAATTTTTGTCAATTGGCTTTCGATTAGTAATGTTTTTGGGATCGGCGGGGCAGAACGGGGTAGCGGGGTAGAACGGAAAACCGTCATTAAAAAGCGAACTTGCGTCCGGGAACATCCTAACTTACACTGAATCTCACCTAAACGTATCAAATACATGTCAGATACGTCAGTTGTCCGAAAAATATCGAGCAAGGGTCTCCTAAACAACTTGAATTTTCGTGTAAAGTTGTAACATTAGCATCCATATTAACCACCGTAAGTAATTTGCATATTGAATTTCAATCTATTTCAATTATGTTATGCAAAGAGCTTTTATTAGACAACATTTTTATCACTTTAGCTGGGGTACAATGAGGTACCGCGTTCTGTCCCGCCTAATGTCGAATAAGTGTTAGTTAGAAGTTATGTTCGGAAGACAAAGCGTCAGTAATAGAGTATCGAATCCATGAACGCAGAAGTTGCTGCCGTTGGCTGGGTTTGTTAATTGCTTCTGCGGGCAAAATGAGCAAAATTTGACAGATATGGCGTGATTTGACACGTGAAAAAAGATAAGTGATCACGTGACGTTTGTCAAAATTTGCTCTTTTTGCTCGCAGATTCAATTACCGAACCCAGCTGTTTTTCTGGTGAAAAATATAGAAACTCCGTTCTGCTTTGCCAGCGGGGCGGAATGGGGCAAAATACACTTTTTAGGTTTCTCAAAATTATTGTCTCTAAAAATTTTTTTTAACTGTTAAAAATGATGAAAAAGCTTAATTTACATGTTAAGTAATACACCTATAGCAAAAAAAATACATCTTGTTAATTTTGTAATGACAATTGAGCATCAAACGTTAAGTACCCCGTTCTGCCCCGCCTTCCCCTAAGTTTTACAACGCGGATCACTTACTCCATGTCCTATTCTTCAAATTATGATTGTTCTATTAGATAATTCCTTGTTGTTATTATCATTAGTCGTCAGCTGTTGTCCTTTTTCTCTGCTTATATTGTTGCGTGCAATTTTTGGTAAGTAGGAATTCTATCGATTAATTTTTGACCTTTGTCGTTATTCTGAACCATCTCTGAATCCCTTCCTTCAGGTCAGCTAATTAATTTTATGTGTTGGACATTTCTTTTTACATTGGGTGGCTGGAGGAATAAGGTCTTTCTGAAGTTAAATTTTGTCTTCGCCTTTGTGGGATTTTGACCTTGATATTCTCGAATATTGAATTGAATATTGAAGCTCATTGAGTTGCCTTGAGTTGCCTTTCATTTTCGTAGTCGTAGTGTGCTATAGAATCGCCGATTAATTTGGATTCTCACAATATCCACGTGGTAAGTTTTGCTGTGCACGTTTTTTTTTTTCCACAGTGGATTCTGACTTTTTCTATTTAATCATTAGTGAAAAGCTGCCCTAAAGAGTGGAGTAAAGACCATCTCACTCACTCCAGGATTTCGAATCCGGACCTCGATCCAGATTTCCAGAGTATTTTCGAGGCAAACAGAAACCTATTTCCAACAAGTAAAACATAACCTTAGTATCCTTAAATTTTCTTTGCAAACTCGAGGCTTATTTTCTTTACTATTAAAGCTTTATCTGTTTTTATCTAATTTAAATAATTATTATCATAAATACATTATTAATCAATTTTTCTATTGAAATAATATTCGAGTGCTACAGTTTTTATCAAGTAAATTTGCTATTTAAGACTAATTAAGTTACATTTTTAATTTCATTTTCTAATTCTGTCTATTCATAAAGTGACTCGCTATGGTTCAATTGCAAATGCAGTATGTTATAACAATTTTTCTCTTAGGGTTTTTACTCACGGTTACATCGTGACACAACAATACACGTTCAATTTTAACCGAGATTGTAACTATAAGGCTGTTGCTACTAGAGCCTACGCCTTTTATTTCGACGGTTCCCTATCTTGAATTTGAACCTTAAGATTGGTTTGACCACCTCAACCAGTACCGGGACTAACCTGGTTAATTGTACCTGCAGATATACCATCTGGAACGTTTTGGTATCGTACTAGTTTTAGTTAACCTACCTTTTTCATTTGTTTTCATTTAAAGTTACTGGTTTATAGTATCTACATTTTACCCTTATTTTGTACGCCAAAGTGATCACCGCGGTATTTTAGGGAGTAATTCAGTATTTGTAGCAATGTGACAAGTGAAACAAAACAACAGTAATCATTATAGGTAATTAAGCTAGACGTAACCTGATTCAGGTGGTTGATAATTCATAACAACTTATTTTATTATGTAAGGTTTATAACTGGTAACCGTTCCGATAACTGATTATTGATATTTTCTTCATTTCTATATTTAACTTCTCTGTTTCTTTTTTTACATTTTCAAAATTTCATATTTAAATTATTAATGCCTGAGTATAGCATTTGTTTCTACATTTTAGACATTACTGTATATGTTTATTAACCTATCATTGAAAGGTCACTTTATTTATTAACTAATGACAGTTCAAGTGATTGTCTTTTATTAAATAGTTTTTCACTTTTCACTCTTTAGTAATATTGCTAATTTACTTCTTATTATAATTTTTTTTAATTAATAGTATCTCAATACCCATATTGTTTCATTGTGGACGGTAGCCACATTTGGTACATAAACTGACTATAGCACTTGATTCATTGACTTTTATTTGGTTTTATGCATCAGTCTAGTTTTAGCTTTTGTTAATTATTATTTTTTTTTTATTATTTGAATTGTAAGGACCTGGAGTCAGATAACATCCTGGAGAGTCCGACTCATCTGTCCAGAGTTGGTGGCACCCAAAAATAAAACCCACCCCTACTCTCCGAACTGTTTAATTCTGAGTTAGGGCCTAATTTACACGCACTTCGACCTTCAGTTTTACAATCTCAAGTTCTTCACTAAATTTTTTTTTTTTTTTTTTTTTCCCCTTTCTAAACTGTTTATTCACTTAAAAAGCGTGGCAAACAGAAGAGGAAATTAGTTAACCGAATAATACCCATAACAAGTGAAAGTGACAAAAATAAACCAGAAGATGACAAGAATTTACCCGAAAAAAAGGCAAGAAAATGAACAAGAAAAATATAAAGAAATCGGAAGACAGAACAACATGGAACAGAGACAAGCAAGAAGAAGTTCAAGAAGAATAAATCCACCAAAGTACTTGCAAGATTATGAACTTGAAAATGATATAAATTTCTTCGCAGCGCTTTCGGCAAGAGATTTATTTGCAGACGTGCCAAAGTCTTTTTCCGAAGCAGTTGTGCAAGATCATGGATGAAAAATGCTATAAAAGAAGAAAGAAATAAGTACTTTGGGAGAAAATTAAACATGGAAGTTAGTGTTACCACCAAGAAGTGCATAAAAAATTGACTCGAACTTGGTTTTTAGTGAGAAGGTTGTTGAGGGTCAAGTGAAAAATAAAGCCCGATTAGTGGCAAGAGGATTCAAACAGAGTGTAATCAGTGATGATGTGTATGCTCCTGTAGCAAGAATGTCTAGTATCAGGTTGCTTTGGTCTTTGTATGTAGAATTCGACTTACAGGTATGTCAGTTGGATGTTAAGTCTACATTCCTTACTGAAACACTGATAGACCCTGTTTCTATGTATCCTCCAGAAGGACTTTGTCAAAAATCCAAATTTGGTATGTCATTTACAGAAAGCACTGTACGGTCTTCGACAGTCACCAAAATGCTTGAATTTATTATTTAATGATAGCTTGATTAATCTGGGTTTTCAGAGATCAAAGAAGAATTCCTGTCTTTATTTTACTGATACTACATATCTTTTAATACATGTAGATGACATAATTTTATTCTCTTAATGTCAAGAACAGGTAAAGGACCCACACTTCTTATGGGATTTCTGACCGCGGTCAAATTTCACCAAATTTTAGTATGTTATAGATCTTACCTTTCTGATTGATAACTACCATGGGCACAACCTAATCCTATGACTAGTTTTTGAGATACAGGTAGTTCAATATCGGTGGATTATTGTAAACTGTACAATTATGTAATTAAGTTTTTCTACGAGCGTGCGGGAAATGGCTCTTCCCGCACGATTTGCTGTGTGGGAAGACTT